CTTCTGAGGTCTGAAGCTGGCTTCTGTGAGCTGTTGTCATTGCCCATGACTCATACCCATTTGTCAGGACTAGCACACACCAGTTTCCAATTTACTGAGAAATCCTCGGTTTATGGCCTGGAAAGGTCTCTCAGCAGCTGCTGTTAATTACTCTCTACCCTATATATTTTCCCTAATCCATTATTTCCTAGCCTGTTATTACATTAACATTCTCTGTTCTAGTTACTGTGTCTACTCTTATAGACCAATTGCCAAAAAATATGTTCTGTCTCCAGTTTCTCAAGCATGTGTTTCCCTGCAAGCATAATGTTTCCATTGCTTTATATCCCTGCTGAGGACACCAGAATCCTTGATATTCACTATTTTTAACTCTAACAGTTCCAGATAGCTGTTACTGTAACTCTTTTTGTCCCAACCAACACACAGTGTGTGATCAGCTATAATTATTGTCAGACAATAAACAGTGCGCAATTTTATATTTTTGGTTTGCGCACGCTAAAGAAACCTTCCTTTTTATGCATAGTATTTGCTGTCTCTTTGAAAGTAATACTCATGCTCTTTCTAGTGTCTAATATCTCCTTAAGTATTTAAAAACCAATTCCTCTGGTACACAGAATGAGTAAAAGGTAACAAAACAGCTGACCAGCTGGCAAGTAATGCACCAATTCAAATGGGAAAAAGTATGGGCAGATGATATCATCAATGCTTTGCGTACTAGGGTTAGGAGGATAATGTTGAATCTCTAATGCTAACAAGATTGCAAGACCTGGGAGTAAAGCTTGGTGAAGCATGGCGTCTTCGAGGTCAAGGCAGAAGAAACTATAACCAACTTCTCATGGAAAAAATTAGTAGAGGTACCTTGGAGTGGCTACTGCATCGAAGTACTAAGCATACATGGGAATGACCAATGTGCAGTGTCATCGACTGTGATTACATAACATAAAGAAGTTGCCACTTTAAACCAATACATGATAAATCTAAAGTGAATCACAAAATAGCATTACTGAAGAAAGGAAGTTACAGTAGTTGTAAAAAACAAAAAATGTGAGTTCCATCTCAACAATGAAGGTTAGCTACAGTGCCCCCACTGTTGTTGTTGGAAACAGTAGGTCGAGAGGCCTCCAACTCTTCCACGACAGGACTCTTGTACCACTGTCCAAAAGCTACGAGAATGGTCCATTAAAAGAAAGTTTTAAAAAATGCCCACCGCCAAATTTAAATCCCAGTGTGCTGAGGATAGTGAAACTGAAAGTAACAACTGCATTAGATAGAGTAAGCACATGTCACAACTATTTTTAAAAAGAGTTTATTTTTAAACTTGGTATGTAACAGGCACTGCTATCTCGGTGATTATATTGGAAACAGATGTCAGCAGCTTTCTATGGCCAATACCTAGTGGGTATGATGAGTTATACGCTTGTGTACAACAAAGTTTTCTAAATTTGAAGCCATGTTTCCTCAAAATTGAGACCTAACCCCAAAATAATTCCTAGCATGCTTTTTGAAATGCTCAAGATATAAGCCCTACTCTAAATACAAGCCCTAGTTAAGATCTCAGCTAAACAGATAGATTATGTTTGTGCAGTAAAACACAGGATGGAGCTATTAGATTATAAAGTAAACGGACTTTTTCCATGCCTTATCACATATTTGGCATTCAGGGCTCGATCTACATTTCATAGATTATTTGGCATTTAGTGGGTAATATAGTCACCATCATGCCAGCCACCTTTACTTCCCAGGACTCTACCTACCTGGTACACATTTAAGGCTGGATTAACCTGGGAGCCAGGGTCATTTTTTTCTTTTAAGTCAGGCTCTGTTCAGATTCAAACCTACAACCTTCAAATCCAGGATCTGGCTGCTTCACAATAGAGGCTCCCAATTTATAAAGTAATAATATACATAAAATAATAATGTATAAATATAAATAAATATTACTGACATTAATGCTTTGATATAAATTCTAATGAAATATTTGTAAAAATTCAAGTGGGCGCCTTTTGGTGAGCTGTAAACACCAATATGTAAGCACTGAAAAATGTTTTAACACTTAAGCAGCTGACTATTCTCACTGCATTTCTTCAGGAGGGAAATTTTGACATTTTTTACGAGAAATAAATGTACATTTTTGTATCTGAATGAATGCAGACTTTTGTAATAAGAAAAAAAGACACCTACTGACAATAAGCCCAAAAGTGTCTTTTGGGTCAAAAATATTATATAATCTTCTTCTTCTGCCTTTCTAGCCCTCAATGGAGCATAAGCCCTCAACTAACTCATGCTAAGTCATTCTATCTTTTGCTTCCACATGCAGCTCTCTCCATCTTTCTAACTTCATTCTCCAGCTCCCTTCTTCGTGTGTTTTTTGGCCTTGCTTTATTCCTATACCCCTGTGGGTTCCAGTGCAAAGACATTCTAGTTATATTGTTCTCCGGTTTTCTCAATGTGTGTCCTATCCAGCGCCAACTTCTTTTCTTCACCTCTTGGTCCACTGGAGCTTGCTTAGTTCTCTCACAAAGCTTTACATTAGTGATTCTATCATACCATTTAATTCCCTCTATTCTGCGCAGATTTCTGCGCAGGCACCAGTTAATGAATGTCTGTAGTTTATTAGTAATTGCCTTAGTTGTTCTTTATGTGTCCGCTCCATATCTGGCGAGCTTCGCATTCATCAACAGTTTAGTGCTTCCGATCACAGTGGAACTATATTTATGTCTAATATTATAACAATTCTGAAATGATCCAGAGCAGCAAAAAAAGCAGTTTATCTAGTGTCTAAATAATATGACAATAGCAGAAATAAAGACTTTACTAAGATTGGGGAATTTTTTATGAGCTTGAACACAAACAATACTTTTTGCAGAGGAAGTCAATTAAAACTCTATTCTTCAGAAAAGTAATCCATTTCAGAAAATGAATGAATAAAAGCCACCTGACAAGAATGCCCTGGTACCAACTGCCACAGCAAGCCACACTGAAGAAATAGAATGAACACAGAGCAAGGGGAAGACCAGGCAAGAGATGGAGGGACACCATCAGGAGCAACCTAACAGAAATGAACCCCAACTCATACAATGCACTGGAAAAAGCGCACAAACAAACCTTACATTTCCCACCAACACCTCGCTGAGGTAAATGATGGATGAGAAGGAGAATGAATAAATAAAAAAGATTTTGTTTTTACTCAAAAGTCTTTAATAAATGGACAATACCTTGTGATTTTGGCACAGCCTTTAAAAAACACGCCCATTACATAAGCACATAAATTACCCACATAATAAATAAACATCTTGTACAGAATTATCAACAATCGTATGAGCCGCTTGGCACCCAATGAGTTAATATAAATCCCCACAGTCCTTCCACTTTCTTCAAACTAGGATAATGTATCAGTTATTGTTTGTTTGACGGTTGCATACACAAATACCAACTGGAAAGAAATAAATAGTGTGAAACATTATCTAAAAGTGATCACAGATTATTTTTGTAAATATACCCAGGCATGACATGGAATACTGCTGGCATGACATACACACAATAACATATGTGTACATAACATGAAACATAATGCAGGTTGCAGCAAAGATCTATACAAGATCTTTATGTAATTACCACAAAATGAAAAAATATATGCGCACAATAAAAATAAAGAGATCGAACAAGCAGCAACTTTACTCAAACACTCACAATAAACCTCTCAATACACTGCTGGACTTGCATCAGAAAACTTCAGTCTTTTGTTCAGATACAAAGTTAGATTTACTTAAGATTTACATATTTATACTTTGTTACCCAAACAGCTGGAAGTCGCCGCCGCGATGTAGAGGCTAGATGCTTGTCTGAGAATTGGAAGGTCATGGGTCTGGGTCCAGATAAAAACAGACTTTTTAAAAAAGACCTTGGATCCCAGATCGACCTAACCAAGAGTGGATATCAGGTGCAGTTCTGGGAAGTAAAGGCAGCCGGTGTGATGCTGACCTCATCAACCACCAAGTGCCAGTGGTCTATAAAACAGAGGTCTAGCCCTATATGCCCAATTCCCTAAAGGTGTGGAAAAGGGCCCTTTACTTACTTACCCATGAAGTTGAGAGAGAGAGAGAGAGAGAGTTTACAGAGTTCTAGCCCTATATGCCCAATTCCCTAAAGGTGTGGAAAAGGGCCCTTTACTAACACGCATGAAGTTGAGAGAGAGAGAGAGAGAGTGTTTACAGAGTTCTAGCCCTATATGCCCAACTTTCTAAAGGTGTGGAAAAGGGCCTTTTACTTACACCCATGAAGTTGAGAGAGAGAGAGAGAGAACGAACGAATGAACAAACAAACTTTATTTTTAAAGGGTTAAGAATTGGGCACGCAGGCCCGACTTACATTCTGCCCTATCTCTAAAAGAGAGAGAGAGAGGGGGAAGAGAGAGATAGAGATAGAGAGAGATAGAGAGAGAGATAAATATGCTATATAGTCAGACTTCATGGTATGAAAGATCATCTGTTCAGAACTCACTGAAAGTAAAGGATAAAGAAGGATGTGGATCCACGTGCCTACCCAAGCACCAAACCATAAGAAGAACTTGATAGTTAAACATTTGTTAAATGATGCTTTCACAACAATTTTGCTAAACAACTTATAAACATAATCTCTCATGGAACTAAAAAAAAAAATTATGTAAATTTTATGTCACATACGTTTGAGTGATTATAACAACAAAACATAAAACTGTGCTTTGAATTTCAACAAGTCTTGTTAAAAAAAAATGTAGAGTGTTATTTTTGAAAAAAAAATCCAACAAAAAAATATTTATGGCATGTCAGATCCTGTAAATAAAGATACTATCTGTATCTTCATGTTACAATCACAGCTGGTGCTTTCCATTAAAGTCATCACTTCACAAATGCACACACAAATGAAGAACATGTCACATGTGAACAAAGTCAAACAAGCCACCAACCCTCCTCTGCGAGCCTAGTCCCCACCAGGCTGACAGATCAGGCACTGGTTGTATGTCAGAGTGTCCACTTGGCCCGCTGTGCATGGATATCGCTGCGCAGATTTTGAGAAAAACAAATTCCAAGTATTTGGAGGAGTGCCACAGCCACTGCAACACCTGCTACGGGAATAAGGTTAGTTTCCAGCCACTTCTCTCCAGCTGGGACGCACCCAATGGTATGAATTTTTGTTCCTCGGTCAAAGTCCTAGTCATAAACAGATGAAATGTTACTTTATATAGGTATTTGAATTTTCATCAAGACTAAACTAACCTGTTTATCTAATCTAATGTTATAACAGACAACCAAATACAAAGCATACCATATTTCCTTTTTAATCACACACACATGCCCACAAAAAAATAACTGTCAATCTAAACATCATCATGTTTCGTATCATAAGTGCAGGCAGTCATAATTTGCCACCTCATATGATCAACAGCCCTAGATACAATCTAATTTTTAAAAACACAGATAACAGTGAAACTGTGCCAATTTATCTAAATTAAGTGCCAATTCATCTAAACTAAATGAAGGCCAGAAAATATACCAAATATGTTTAGTAGTTTCCAAACAGGACATTTACTTTTATTTTAAATAACTTTATTAAATATTCTTTGTTCTGTGTTTAATAATGTTTGCTTTTTATCATGACATCATTTATATATCACTGCCTGTGTCGACAGGAAGGTCTTCGTCATTCAGTTCACAAGTACAGGTGTTTCAAGACCCTTGGCAGTTACATATGGAGCTTCAGAATTTCAATCTTTTAGTGACACACTCATCAAGCGACCACTGCCCTTTTGCACTGATTTATTTCATGGACTGTGTGCTTCAGCTCAAGAATGCAATTTTTTTTTTCAGAGATCTCAGGGGATCATTACTTGAGCAACAGAGGTTGTTTTTTGTGTCTTGCATGATGGTGGACTAGCAAATAGTGATGGAGGGTTCAGTTTTTGGCAAATGAGGCACAGGCAGACCTCTGCAAAGGTGGGATAAAAAACAATGAAGACGCATTGGCTATGAAAGCACACAGGGCTGGAGAATTGGCTAGAGAAAGAAAGACTTTTGGATGTGCCGTGAAGAGAGTGAAGTTCTGTAAAGGACCTGTTGATTGATAATGACAACCAGGTCAAGATAAATTCTCAACATCAACCTTACTCTGACAGATGCAAGCAGTTTTAAGGGCTTAGATGCTCCAAACATCAATAAGTCTTCCATAGGATTCTAACCAACAAATCAACCATTATGAGTCAGCACAAGCCAAACTTTTCAAGGCTCCCCTGAATACTTACATGTTCTGACTTCATCATTTCAAAGCCACAGTGGCGATTGCTTAGCTCCTCCTGGAAAACACAATATAGAATATCACTGGAGCTGTGCTAGCATAGTAGGCATGCACTGATTTACCAACTGTGATCTGTATCTTTAGATATCATGTTATTTACTTCTGACTACCCGTATGGTTTCCAAGGCCCATTTTAGGAGTGAAAGAAGAGACTCAGTGTTCCTTAGCAACCATTTCATAAAAGGCAACAAATTAAAGGTTTAATGAAATCAAATATGTTGGGTAGAAAAGCAAAGATATTGCAGCCTAGCTGTGCACTAATTATCCTTTTACAAGTGACTGCAGAAGAAGAAGAAGAAGAAGAAGAAGAAGAAGAAGAAGAAGAAGAAGAAGAAGAAGAAGAAGAAGAAGAAGAAGGAGAAGAGGGAGAAGAAAGAAGAGGAGAAGGAGAGGAGGAAAAAGAAAGAAGAAAAAACAAGATTTACTTGTGACGTCATCCTTAAAAAAACAAATCTATCATTATTTCACAACTTTTACACTTTTCATCTTCTAATCCACATCATGTACAAGTGTCATTACATCATGACCAATCATAGCTGAAACATGTTTTTCCATATTTTTACATGACAAAGTTCCTAAAAATTTGCTCTCTTGATTTTCTCTAGCAACTTTTCCTCTCCAGCTTTTCACTGTCATGACCTACTCCAGTTTTCCCCTAAAAATGTGGACTGTCTTCTTCTGAAACAAATAATAAGTTCTCAGTATGAGATGATGCTTTCAGTGCCAAACAATTAACCCATGTGTCTGTTGATAATTTTAGTGATAACATGGGCAGCAGCTATCTGTCTCCATGCTCAACGTACCCAGTAGCAGTTGACTGATAAATCTTCTATCTTTCCACTACTGATTTCTTCATGCTCGTTCTCATTTAGCACCTATTTCCAACAGTTAGTTCATCGTTGCTGACTATTTTGTTTCTCTGACAGGCAGCACATTCAGTATGACTGCCCTGTTGATCAAGCATGGTTAACTGTGATATTGAGGAGTCTCAGACTGTCAATGACTCCCCTGATCCATCTTCTAGGACTGCTTCCTTTTGGTGTTTCCAGTTTCATGTTGCATGCTCTCGCTGTCGGCATGTCTTTTTTAATTTTATTTCTCAATGAATTTAAAATGGGTATAGTTCCAACAGCTCATCCAACTGTTCATTTCTAACATGATCTCTTCTAAACTGAACACCTTATGTAAATCATCCATCTGCTGTTATTAAAGTACACAAATCTTGACCACACTGACTTGCCTCGGAACGGTTTTCTGTACTATGATATTGTATTCTGAATGGCTTCCCCTAATTCTTAGTTAATTATGTTTGATAAAGCATGGTTAACTGTGGAATCTTAGACTTATATATAATATGTATATATATTTAAAAAAACTAACATCTGCCTTTCAAGCACTACCTATATGTAGACAGAGAACAACTGAAACCCCACCTGTGCATCATCTTTACAGCAAGAATAAGGCACCCCACAAGCCTCAACACCTGGAGATGAACAGTTGAAATAGATATTGGACTCCCAGTCCTTGTAGCTTTGAACTCCGCAACAGTGCAGCTGTGAGTTACATAAAATTCAATTTCAATTGTCTTGTTGTTTTAAAATGGATACATCATTTATTAATTGTTCTTTAGAAGTAAGGAAAAACATGAAAAAACAAATTGTCTAAAACAATTAATTTAACTTTTTTCTTTCCAAAGACAGACTTTGTAAATCCTATCTGTCCTAGTTACCAAATTACTGCCATCTATCCCTGATGATTGACACTGCAGTCCTTTTACATCACAGCATTTATTTAGTATTTACATCCTTTTGTTTGGCATACATTTTCATTACTAGTTACTGTCTACTAACTAAAGAGTTATAAAAAGTAAGAATTAAACGCAAATTTACGAGATAACAAATGAACACATTATGTATGGATTCACACAAAATGAACAAAGTAATTTTAGTGGGATTAATGTAACCTAGGATGTTTTTCAGTGTGTGGGAAAAGTGGAAATTAAACAGCCAATGTTAGTAAATAAAACCATATAATTTTTGAAAAAAAATATTTATATTAAGGGCATATATTTTTTAAAACGAAGAAAAACAGTTAATTTTAAGCAGGAAAAAACTAGTCAGGAGAAGACAGGAAGACACACACAAGTGTGTGAAAAGCTTAACAGCTGAGCAATAAATTAGAATTTAAGCGCTGCCAATTTCATTACAGCAGTCAAGTAAAAGGTGAAGAACCCTTTTACACCAGAGGCACACCTTGCATATGATGCTAGATTAATTTGTCACAGACCAATCAGCACTCAGCGGGTGATGTGGTCAATATCACACTTTATTTTCCAGGACATCAGATGGTATCCATTTTTTGGCTAGGTCAACCCGGAACCCAAAGTTAACTTTGAAACAATTGCTAAGTGACTCACTGAACGTGATCCAGAAAGCTGAAGCAAGTTATATATGATCTGATGTTGAACTGAATCTACACAGGTGTACAATTAATTATGTTTATCTTCTCACAAAGGCAGCAGCATGGGAGAGGGGTGGCAACGAAAGAGTGGAGAGGTTGGCTGGTACTGCAATAACAGCAGAAGGGAAGCCAGTGGATTGAGCCAATGCTCTTAGAGTCCAGCTGAGACTAAGCCTTTTAAATGAATGAATAAACACCCATAGTGATAATCCAACCAGACTGAAGACTGGTGTGGCCTGGATAGACAACAACTTTAAAGACACTTACACAACCCATTAGGAAGATCACAGTGATGATCTTTCACCCCCCCCCCCCCAACCCAACTCTTTGATGACGGTGAGATAGCTGGAGAAAAACAAGAAGAATACTAAAGGATATACTTTAGATAAAACAGGAGCAATGACAGGTGAATACACAAAAAAATAATCTGAACAGAACTGAGCTACACCATTCAGTAACAAAACAAGTAACTAATTAGGTTTTTTATTCAATCAGTGATAAGTCTGAACCTTCTTTTCTAGTTTTACTCTAAGCTGATACTTATTCCGTAACTTATCATCATCATCATCAATATCATGTAGGTCCCTTGCAGAACATCATTCTCATCACTGAACAGAAAGCCACTGGGTCCCTTACAAATGTTTCTGCCTCATGAATATTCACGTCTAAAGTGACCTTGATATTCTGCATAGAATGTTATGCTGGCTGTCCCCTGCCTCTTCTTCCAGGTACTATACTCTTCACTAATGCTCTCTGCAAACTATTAGAGCTTCTAATGATAAGCTATTATAATCAATGTCACTGCATACTCGGCATTTCCATGTGTGCTCAGTCCATCAATGCAGCAACCGCTCTAAAGTACCTTGAATGGTCCCATCAGGAATTGGTTATAAAGTCTTCTATCGTGGCCTTAAAGGGGGCATAAACATGTTTCTTACTTAGTCGCTCCTTTTTTACCTTGGTGTGTAGAGGTTTGGCAGAGAGATCGCCAGACTTCTTTGTTAGTAGATTTATTTTCTGGCTTTGTTCTATTCTAGTCATCTGTCAGTCAGGGACTGTCGGATGTTGTCTTCCCAGCAGACCCTGGGTCGCCATGGAAGTATGTTCCCTGGTTCTTAGCCTCCCATGGGGGGGCAGATTTTCTCCCATTCTGCAGTTTGTAAGAACTGGGTTTCAAGATCTTGACATACTGTCTGATTGCTGACTTTGTCCCTTCTTGTCACTTAGACCACCTTTCTCATATATCTAATTTCTGAGGCCTGCAGCTGGCTTCTGTGAGCTGTTGTCATTGCCCATGACTCACACCCGCAGGTCAGGATTGGCACACAAGTAGAGTGTAGACATCCATTTTCTTTTTTGCTGAGAAACCCTTGATTTATGGCCTGGAAAAGTCTCACAACAGCTGTTTTCATGTAGCCAGCTTAGTCTTAATGTCTCCATTTCAGTCTATTACAACTCCATGGTATTTAATGATTGACCTGATACAATGCATACTGTCCCATCATGATCTAGTGTTTCTTCTCCTCTCTTGAGATCACCATGGTTTTAGTTTTGGAGATACTGATAGTCATACCTCTCTTCTCAAGCTCTTCTTTCCAGATAAGTTGGATTGAAGGTGTGTCTCTGATTTAGCTATCAGGACCACATCATCATCTGCAACCCTACTGAGTACTTCTTTGTCTTTTGCTTACAGGTCTTGATTATGTCATCCATACATCATTATCCACTAGCCCAGTCCATACAGCAGATGATATCAGCTCTTCCCATTCTTCTTAGTCATGTACTGGTGCACTGCTTGCCAGTTTGTCCGCTCACTCACTACCTTTTACACTGGCATCACCGGGTGTTAGGCGTTTAATGTGGTCAAAAAAGCCTTATTTTTTAGAATTGACACAACTGATGAACTAGCTCCCTTTGATATTCAGATGGTGAAGAATGCCTCTATTTTCCCTCTTCTTGGTGCCCCAACTGATATTGAGCAGTAATTTAAGCACTGTTTTGTTGTACAGTCTATTGGAAACTTACCCAATCCTGCTGCACCCAGTCAACAAGATTTTTCAGGTCAAGGTCATCCCTGTAGTTGATTATCATATTTTTTACTTGTGACTGAATTGAATTTCTAACCTGTTCAAAAATAAAATGAGACAGTATTATAAATGGAAGGCAGGTGCTCTGCTGGAAAAAAAATATCACGTTCAACCAGCATCCCTGAAGGGCGAGCTTTAGGTTATAATTGTGACCAGGTTATGAGCACCGCATAAAATGGCTTAGTACTCATGCCATCAAAAGCCCTGAAAAAGACTCCTTCAGTGTTTATGTGATCAAAGCAGACAGACCCAAATACTGTTCCGACTGGTGACAAAGTCATCTACAAGCGAGCCGATGGTGGACCAGGTCACCGATTATGAGTATTATAACAAATATGTCGATATTTATGTTAACATAATGCACATGCACGCATGGTATCTTGAGTAACTGACTGTTAATATCTTCAGATCGTGATATGTTATATAGCATGGAGACAGGATGCTTATGTTTCTTTAACCGACAAACAATTAAGAAAATCATCATCATCATCATGTAGCAGGTCCCTTGCAGAACGTCGCTATCATCACAGTCTACCTGTAAGAAACTCGGTCTCTTGCCAGTTCTCCCGCCTCATGAACTTTCACACTCAAGGAGTCACTTATATCCTGTGCCCATCTTCGTGTCGGTCGGCCTCTGCCCCTCCTTCCTGGTACCATGCCTTCTGCTATAATTTTTTCCAATCCGTCGTGGCGCTTGATATGACCAAAATATTTCAGCTTTCGAGAAAGGATGCTGTTTATTAGCCAATCTTCCTTGATGTTCAGATCTTTTAAGATGTCAATATTTCTCATCTTCTTTGCATTTTTGGCTTCCATGAAGAAAATATGCATGTTTAAAATATAAAGAGAAGGCCAGTATCAAAGATGTATTGAGGCAAGTTACTTCAGCCGCGACAATCCTCAAGGGCTTGCAATGCTGAAGAATAAAATTAAAATACATAAAAGAATGGCTCTGTGATTTGCAAAATGTTAAATCATCCACGGGCCAAGGGTATACACAAGTAATAATCAATAAGTAAAGAGACTTTCTGCACGAGCATGTGTAGGCAAGCAATATTCTAGATGATCTCCTTGACAGAATAAAGTTAAAAAAAAAAAAAAGAGAATCAGAGCACAGCTTATGAAACAGAATTAATTGTGATGTCTTATTTACAATACTCTACATCTGAATTAGTCACGTGCAGTCTCTAGAATAACAGCTGGCTACAAGGATATCCAACACCTGCTTTAGTAGCTCATTCTCACAGTCTGCTGTGATGAATATCACAATACAATCTCTTAACCATGTCCTCCCGAGAAGCTGCCAAACCGACACATCCAGCTGGGTAAAATTCCCCATAAATGTCAATTTTTCGACTTGTCTATAGTGACCTGTTTACAAGACACATAGTTAATGCTATCAGCTGTTTTGGTGCCTGCACAAACATTTAGGAGGTCAGGATATGAACAAATTAACCAAAAACAGCATTTAAGGGGGGACTCCTTTAACTTATGCCAAACAGCTTTTTAAGAAGATAAGTTCATGCCAAATTTGTCTCATACGCTTCAGTAATAGAAGTCCCAGTAGCAGGAGCCACGATAAATGTTTTTAGACACCCAGGGAAAATATTCCATTTAATGCTTTACTCTGTTCATGTTTATCGATTACTCCCTTTAGATATCTTTGTATATTGTGGGGGGGGGGGGAGCAAAGTTACTGTGATGGAAGAAGATAAAGGATGCAGAAGGAAATGGGGGAAAAAAAAGGCTGAGAAGCTGCTGCCAGTCAAGGAGGGAGAGGAGGAGGATGAAGAGGAATGAAGAGGGAAAAGGGAGGGAAGAAGCAGCAAGGAAAAAGGAAAGAAAAAGAAAGTAAGAAAAAGAAAGAAAGAAAGAAAGAAAGAAAGAAAGAAAAAGAAAGAAAGAAAGAAAGAAAGAAAGAAAGAAAGAAAGAAGAAGAAAGAAGAAAAAGAAAAGAAAGAAAGAAAGAAAGAAAGAAAGAAAGAAAGAAAGAAAGAAAGAAAGAAAGAAAGAAAGAAAGAAAGAAAGAAAGAAAGCGAGAAAGAAAGAAAGAAATGAGGAAGAGAAAAAAGAAGAAGAAAAAAGCAAGACGACGATGGCAGCCAGGGGAAGCGATAAAAGGAGGAGGAAACAAGAAGAGGGAGAAGAATAAGCACTAATTATTAAGCAATATTTGTAAAATATCAACAATAAATTATACAAACCCAGTCTTTATAGATGAAACCCAGGATTCCAATCAGAAGTTCCAGGATAAAAATCACCCCCAAAGAAATCATAAACTGTAATAACAACAATAAAAACTGCAACAGGGCAACTGTCATCGACACATGAACAGAATGTTAAACTTCTTCCTAATACACAACCAAAGTCATGAAAAGATGAGAACACACTCTTTTGGATGCAAATCCCTTATAATGCATACACAAATGTCTGACCTAAAATCTCTTCTAGAAACTCTTCTCTCTGTCAGTCATGTGATCCTTCAAATGAAATAATAAAATAAAAAAACATATCACAGTGGTCAAGACTTTTTAATCTTCTGCACTATTAGAATTTTGAAATGATCTATTTGCTTATTACAAAAAAATACTGCATGTGTAAAACTGGTTAATGAGGTACCTCCGTAGCATCACAGATAGCACATTTTTTTGTTGGCATTGTCAAGTTCAAAACCTCTCTGAAGTTATTTTTTATGATTAAACTTGGATTATTAACCTGACAGGTCGAGCCAGCCTGAAATTGGTACTAGAAAATACATAAGATGTAAAAGCAGCCAGCAAGATACTGACCAATTCACCCATCAAATTCTGATTGGTCTCAACGAGGCCAACATCTGATCTCCTCTCCAATATGCCTCAAAGCATAGAAAGGAATCCTTCCCATTTCGTAACCCTCTAGTCCCGCCATTGCCATCCATTACAAATCCCAGTACATGCTGCTGAGCTGACATTGATTTGTCTTCCTGTGATATTATCTCCAATTTTTTTTCATGTCCATACAACAACAACAACAAAAGTTTTCTAGAGTCCATACAACAACAACAAAAGTTTTCTAGAGTCCATACAACAACAACAACAAAAGTTTTCTTGAGTCCATACAACAACAACAAAAGTTTTCTAGAGTCCATACAACAACAACAAAAGTTTTCTTGAGTCCATACAACAACAACAACAAAAGTTTTCTTGAGTCCATACAACAACAACAACAAAAGTTTTCTTGAGTCCATACAACAACAACAAAAGTTTTCTAGAGTCCATACAACAACAACAACAAAAGTTTTCTTGAGTCCATACAACAACAACAACAAAAGTTTTCTTGAGTCCATACAACAACAACAACAAAAGTTTTCTTGAGTCCATACAACAACAACAACAAAAGTTTTCTAGAGTCCATACAACAACAACAACAAAAGTTTTCTTGAGTCCATACAACAACAACAACAAAAGTTTTCTAGAGTCCATACAACAACAACAACAAAAGTTTTCTTGAGTCCATACAACAACAACAACAAAAGTTTTCTTGAGTCCATACAACAACAACAAAAGTTTTCTAGAGTCCATACAACAACAACAAAAGTTTTCTAGAGTCCATACAACAACAACAACAAAAGTTTTCTAGAGTCCATACAACAACAACAAAAGTTTTCTAGAGTCCATACAACAACAACAACAAAAGTTTTCTTGAGTCCATACAACAACAACAACAAAAGTTTCCTGGAGTCCATACAACAACAACAACAACAACAAAAGTATACACTTCAGCAAAATAAAAAAAACTATATATACTAAATGTATATACACATAAAAGGATAACTTCTGTAGCACGGATGTAAACTATTCAATTGCTAACATCAATCAATCTAACCTTTCCCCGTGTGGGTTTTGGGGGACATTTCATTTCTGGAGACAAAGAATAGACTCACTGTCCCCCTAACAAGCATATTGTTAATGTCATCTAACTATGGGGTTTCGAATAAAGTCAGATTACATCTGCCTGAGATCTGAGGAACCTACAGTCTGCACACAAATAAGCCAGATGTGTACAACTGACTTGAATGCAGAACTCAACTTCTGGAGCAAAACTGAAGTCCAGAACTTTCCACTGGAGTTTACAGCCAGTGAAGACTAAGAAGAATCTAACTTTTAATTAAACAGATATATTTCAAAGTGTGCACATATTTTTGTTGGGCAAACTGTATGTTATGTTATGTTTTCACAATCGACATCACTGCACATTGGGCATTACCATGCGTGCTTAGTCTTTCAATGCAGCAACCACTCCAAAGTACTTCTACTAATTGTTCCCATGAGAAGCTGGTTGGTTATATTGTCTATCTCGGCCTCGAAGACAGCATAGACGTGCTTCGCCATGCTTTACTTCCATGTCATGCAATCACTGTTAGTGTCAGGGATTCCTCATTATCCACTAGCCCAGTCCGTACAGCGTTGACGATATCTGCTCTATCCATGCTTCTTCCCACATGCGTTAGTGCAGTGCTTGCCAGCTTGTCCGCTCGCTCATTTCCATTTATGCCCCATGACCAGGTGTATAGATCCAAGTGAGGGAGGTTAAGCGCGCAAACTCTATATATGCCAATAACATACTGCCTCAATGGTGATAAATCACACTGAACATATTTCAACAGAAGCACCAAGCAGAAAGTGAGCAAACTAACTTACAAACATCAAGAGACATGTGTTCTCTCGGAGAGCGCCAATACACCCAGTGAAGCTCATACAGAACATGGACATCCCAACGACTATAAACAACAGTGCTGGATCAAGTGCGATGTTGGTGAGTCTCGTCACGTTCTGGAACACATCTTTCTCTGACCAAGCCCAAAGTCCAATAATCAGCAACATGAGGCCAATCATCTGTCACAAGAACAACCCATGTTACACATGTTGAAACAATAATAACTTTCTCTCTCTCTGTCCTAGACTCTAGATATGTTTAAATTTTTTTTTTGTGAGTATCTAGAATCCATGAGTTGTTAACCCATTGGCTCAGTACTATAGATATGGCAACCCTTCGGCCTTGATTTCATGATGAATACTGTTAATGTGGGAGGAATGTGGCTTTTCTGCCTACCCCCGGGCATGAACCAGGACACAAGGAGTTCATCACCCGGTCGCAGCGCAGTCCGGTTTAGCCAACTGCGCTAGCGAGCATAGATCAACAGGTTATACTTAAGCACTTATAAAAATATCCATATGCATCGAAAAAGACAAATTTTTGAGAACAGTCTTATGGCAGATCTTTGGACTGATTTAAAGATGCAACTTGAGTCTCCAAATGGAAACAGAAGGCCAGTCAATGGAGATGACTGGAGGCGGGTAATATCTGCAGCAGCATACCTCAAGGGCTCACAATGCTAAAGAAGAAAAAGAATGGAAAGAATAAATGAAAAGAATGCTCAATGAATTTTTTTTAATGCTTGAAAAAAAAAATTTGATGAACATAAATTTGGATGAATTTTAAAAAGTAAAGAAATCAGATAAATAAATGTCTGGACAACAGCTGGATTCAACACTTACAAGAGAAAGAAGATAGAGTACAATCTGAGATAAAGCAGACAATGAATTACAAAACAGGCACCGGAAAAGGCAACAAATGGGTTGAGGAAACGTGGACTTCCAAGTTAAGCCCCAGGACAAACATTTATGAGAGAGGCAGTATGTTCTGGACTAGATTCTGTACAGAATATTAATAAAGCCTGCACCGGATAAAATAGTAAAAGTTAACTTTTTCTTACAACAGTGGCGCATGTGGCATACGATAGACCCAGATATTTATTGACCCATCGGTACTCGGCGCTTGATGCGGTCAACATCTTGCCAACTGCCTTTACTTCCCAAGAATTTACCTAACATCAATTTTAGGTTGGGTCGTCCTTGGAGTCAAAGCTAATTTTAGTGGGGGAGTGGGAAAGAAGAGGGGGGGGGGGGGTATCTGCCTCGATGCAGTTTGGAACGCAAGACCCTTGGGCCGGCAGGTGAGCGGCTACCCAACAGGTTACTTGGACTTCCTAAGAAGAAAACAGGATCGAAGAAGCCCTACTCTGGATCTTGCCAGGGGCCGCAATATAGCCAGGCCATAAATATGGCCTAATGGCTGGAAGCGGTTTCTGGGACCTCTCCACGGTGATTCTCATCCACATGCTGGCACATTGTGTCATCGGGTGTTTATCGCTTGTGTGATGTCCTTGTGGGGTAGAAAGTCAGTCAAAGTCAGTCAGACTGCCAGCCATGAGTGGCATATCAACGGCACAATGGGTTGGAAGTAATCAATGAAAAGAACATGCGAGAAAGAGAGAATGAGATAGAGAAAGAGAGAGAGAGACATATGGATAAAAAGAGACATACACTCAGGAGAGAGAAAGAAAGAAGCATACACACGAAAAAGAATCAACTGTAAGCCACGTGTCATATATAAACGACACGATGGGTTGGTAATGATCAGTGAAACCCGTCTGAGAGAGAGAGAGAGAGAGAGAGAGAGAGAGAGAGAGAGAGAGAGAGAGAGAGAGAGAGAGATGGATGGATAAGAAGAGAAACATACACCCAGGAGAAAGCAAGAAAAAAAAGCATGTGTCATATATAAACGGCACAGTGGGTTAGTAATGATCAATGAAAAGAGCGTGCGAGAAAGAGACATACATATGGAAAAGAGGAGAAATACACACACACACACAGAGAGAGAGAGAGAGAGAGAGAGAGAGAGAGAGAGAGAGAGAGAGAGAGAGAGAGAGAGAGAGAGAGAGAAAGAGAAGCGTGCATAGGAAGAGAAACATTCACAGAGAAAGACACACACACGGATCAGTTACGCATCTAAATCGGACACTCAAACATAAATAACCTTATCTCCAGCCGACATTACATGCCCTATTATTAAAAAGAAAGGCCACAGATTACACCACCAGGCAACAGAATGCAATCACAGCAGCTGGAGTATTTTTAAAGAAACGTGCAACAAACCAAACTAATTGGACGTGACTTCGTGTCAATAAATAACGATCATTTATCCCATAGTACTCCAAGCTCGACCTTCGCTTCGTACAAGACGATGCAAGCCGAACCACTCGACTGTAGGGTTCTCCCGCCTGCGGGATGTGTGTTACTTATTGATGCGAGCATTCAGCGAAAAGATTCCTCTCAAGACAACTCATCGTTGTTCGTCCCTGTGTTACTGAGTACCGAATGACAGCATAAATTGTGGAACGGAAGAGAAAGAGATGGTAAACGCGATGAAAATTGATATGCCAGTAAAAAAAAAAAAAAAACCTTTCAATTATTTTTGTCTTTGTTTAATTTTGAAAAGCCAGCAAACCAAACTAAAAGTAGAAATAGCAAGCTTTATATTATCACAATCATAAAATAGAAGCGAACGTTGCGGTTAGAAAGCCTTCATCAGCACAAAACATGAAAATGTTAACTTACAAACACACAAATCGCTTAACTGCGGTCTCTCCAACTAGCATAATAGTAGCATAATGGGATGTAGGTCGTTGAGGTAGCAATTAAGAGACCGGGGAGAGAGAGAGAGAGGGGGGGGGGACAGACAGGTGGGTGGATGGATTTACGGACACAGACAGGTGGATGGACAGATAGGTGAGTAGACAGACAGACAGAAATATAGACAGAAATATAGACAGATAGATAGATAGATAGATAGATAGATAGATAGATAGATAGATAGATAGATAGATAGATAGATAGATAGATAGATAGATAGATAGATAGATAGATAGATTAGATAGATAGATAGATAGATAGATAGATAGATAGATAGATAGATAGATAGATAGATAGATAGATAGATAGATAGATAGATAGATAGATAGATAGATAGATAGATAGATAGATAGATAGATAGATAGATAGATAGATAGATAGATAGATAGATAGATAGATAGATAGATAGATAGATAGATAGATAGATAGATAGATAGATAGATAGATAGATAGATAGATAGATAGATAGAGTTGTGTTCAATCAGAAGCACTGGAGCATAGCTCACTTTGGCTCAGTGAGCATCGAAGTACTTCAGCCTCGGTGCCACATAAGTTGTTAAACCACTAGGTTTTTGCCATCCCCGGCTCGAACTTGAGACCGGACACTCATGGGGATTGTCACCTGACGTCCAGCGCGTCATAAACTATGCTGGAGCGCCGTGCGCGCGCACACACACAAACATATACATACATACAATTTATTTAAATAATGCCTAGCAGGACAGGTGGAATTAGGACAACTAATGGAGTCAGCAGCAAATGTATGGCGAGTTGCTCAGTATAGAAAGAGATACGGATCGACTTCATGGCACCAGGTTTTAACCCACATGGCACTACGGCACGAGCTTTGTCCCCATCAGCTCGAGAATCTCTCTAATGGCGGTTCTACGGGGAGGAGTCGAGCTAAATGTTCTAACCCAGTCCAATCAAATCGATTTTTGAGATAGTTCAGAACAATATAGTCGATCATCCCGATTTTGAATTAATCTTTCACCAGAGCAGCTGGCTGCCAACGAGGGCGCTGTACAAAGCATAAACTCCGAAGCTCCAGCAACGAAGCCAAGCAATCTCGGAAAGACAGCATGTGCGAACCGAAGGGCGGAAACGGAAATCTATCTCACAACCTTCAGAGCGCGGGGCAACTGGCTTACCCACTCCACCAAAGACTTCCGTCATACGAGTCTTTATTATGATACAGCTGGCGTGATGTTGACCAATCGAGCGTCCACTGATTTAGACAAATATGACATTAGAATCACACACCCCATGCGATAACGACACGAAAAGTGGTCCTTTACTTAATTATTATTATATTGTAAAGATGACCTTGGCTCCCAGGTCGAGCCAGCCTTAAATGGGCACCAGGTAAAGTCCTGGGAAATCAAGGCGGTCGGCGTGGTGTTGACCATATCCCCCACAAAGTGCCGACTGGTCTAGCCCAATACGCCCGAGGGCGGGGAAAAGGGTCCTCCACCTTTGTCCGCGCAAACATGATAAAATAATGTAAAAACTGTCGGGAGGCTACTTTTACTAATAACCTCTAGTCCTTTTTAGGATGACATTTTTCGTTATTTGAAGCCCCACTCTGGCTCTTGCCAGGTGCCGCAATATAGCCTGGCCATAAATATGGCCTAAAGGCTGAAAGCGGTTTCTGGGACTTCTCCACGGTGATCCACATCCACATGGTGGCACATTGTGTCATCGGGTGTTTATCGCTTGTGTGATGTCCTGGCGGGGTAGAAAGTCAGTCGGTCGGGAGGCTGACTTGAGCGACGGAGTAAAGCGGAGTGATTACATTCGGGATAATAACAAGAAGTATTCACACGAAGATAATTCAGAGACATAAACTGAGGAGAACATAGCTTGGGCGAAGGGTATATGCTCCAATGCTGGCTAAAAAGAAGTAGCACGGGCTAGGATCCTTTAAATATTTTTGGGTAGATTTTTAACTCCAAATTTCGCCCGGGCAGCGCCGTAAGACTACTCTTTTCGATTTCCAACTACCAAGAGATTTGTTTACGTGCGCAACAATGCACACGGGCGTCCGATCTCAATACCCAAAGACCAGGGGGTTTGTTGAAAAAAGTCCAAGTCCACTTGAAACAATCACAGCCCTTACCGGGGATTGAACCAGGAACATTTAGCACTTGAGGCGCACACCATGCCTCGAGACTACGCAGCCCCTAAACGAAAAATGAATGATACAGGTGTTGAGGTGAGTTCGTGGGGTCAGGATGTCACAGACGTATTGCGCGAGGGGGGGGGGGGTTGTTGTTGTCTGGAAGGAAATAGGGATACAGGAGAAAAGTATTGCAGCTAGGTTAAGAGGTGAGCGCCTGAGAAGTACGTATGTGAATTTG